CAACATTGCATTGCAGCCACATTCAACCATCTTATGCGGGCTCCCCATTAGTCGGCTTCGACCAGTTCTATCCCACCTAGGATTCTTCACCTGCTTCGTGACTCTCCTGTCTCCCTGTCTGTCGATAGCTCAGGCCATCCCTATCTTTAATTGGCTATTTTTGGAGCGAGCCAAAGTACCATTCGCAGCTGCGGAGTCCGACATTCTATGCGCAGGGGATGAATTCATGATTGTGATACATTGATATCTCCTCTCTCACTTTCATCGCCTTCTGTTTCTCAATTATCCTGTATGTCATTGCTTACCCGTCGTTTATCAATTTCGCGCACTTTCTCTATCTGTACAGTCTTGTCAACAGTCGATGGCTTCATTTCTGACTGGTAATCGTTGACGGCGTAGCGGTTCACACCATCTTTCGATCGAGGGGCCACTCCTGATTGTGCTACGATCATCGAGCATTACTTGGACAGATATTTTCGCCTTACCCCATAATCCGTGTCTTACAGCCGAATCATGAATCGATTTCGGAAAAACAGAAAGGAGAAAGTGAAGGAGGATGGCGAGAGCATGGAGAGTGTACCGACATCACTGACTTCCAAGTTGTCATGGAAAAACAAAAAAGGAGAACAAGAAGAAAAACCGGAGCTCGACCTCGCGAATGCCCTACCATCTACGGATGACTTTCGTACTAGCTTGCTGATGCCGAAGCTGTCCGCACGTTTCAGCATGCTGCGAGAACAGGATGACCCTGACTCATTGATAGGGAAAGCGAGTGACGACAGTGTCCTCTTTCCCAAGCGCGCTTCGCGATTGAATCTTTTCGGGCACAGCCCCAACCTTCTGGCAGACATTGACGAGGCATCTCTAGATGGTAGGCCATCGATCAACCTGGGCCGTACCGATTCGTTCGTCTCCGGCGGCGACGGTGGCTATGGGACCGACGATGATCGTTCGCACAATGGCAGTATCATGAGCCGGGCCCGGCGAACCGAGGGTAATAATCTATTTGGTGGACGGCAGAAGGTCTACAAGATCCCGACCAAGACAGCGAATGGTTCCGGATCCGAGGCGGGTCGAGCACCGGTAGGGCGCGCCCTTTATGAGCACGACCTGTCCATGTCTGCTTTCCAACGCTTGAGACTAAAGGAAAAGGAGGAGGACCGCGAGAGCGAAGAGAATCAGCACGAATCTCTAGCCCAAGAATCGGAGGATGGTCTATCAAGCATCTCCTCCATGAAGCGGACAACGTCGTCCTCAACCGCATCGGGCCCTACTGCCAACCGTCGCACGTCGACGGCAGCTACCTCGATCGATGGAGAATCGTTTTCCACAGGGACTGGGGTTCCTGGCGAAAATTCGAAGTCAGGAATCATAGGGGCCATGGCCTCTGAACGTGGCTCCTTTAAATCTCGGCGTCTCTATGGGCAAGGTCTGGCACAGTCTGCACAGAACCAGCAGAACACGACGCTGCACCGCCTGGAGAGTCTGAGTCGCCAACGTGCCGGTACGCTAGAGTCGCCTCCTCTTACTCGGACGTACTCCAGGAGCGCGACCAATCTGCGTGACCGCCTCCAGAAACTCGCGATCGCTGAGCCAACACCTGAGTCTTCCCGTCCGACCAGCCCTCCATCCTCAGCCGTGTCACCAAAATTGCCGAGCAACGACAACGATTCCAAGGAACCAAAGTCGCAACTGACCCCCGGCTATGGAGTACCGCCACTGAGTCCACCTGTCAGCGAGAATGAAGACCTAGGAACATTGGCGGCCGCCTTGCAACCGGAAGATCATGGAAAAGCTACGGCGATGGGCCTCTTCAACAAGCCTCAAACCGCTTTTGATGAGAGTCAGTTTACGCGACGTCAACTGCAGATGCACCAGGGCAGGAGCACACCGCCCCTCCGCCGAGCTCCATCACCTCCCGGACGGATGACTCCACAGGAACGCATTGGACGTTCCCGGGGCCTTTCAAACACGAGCGGTTGGTCCAGACCTGAGTCTGCCTCCTCTCATTACAGTGAGTCTCATCGTGCAGCGAATCATTCAACTGCCCCGAGCATCGACGCTTCTCCCGCCGGCCCTGTAAATGGCACCTTTTTCTCAAACCTCAGTCCTGATGCATCCGACGATGAAAGTGATGAATTCAATACAAGGGACGTTGCGGCTGCTATTGACGCTGTCCATCCTGCTTTCCGGTCTAGCACACCATCCAAGCCTGCAACTCCCCCTGAAGAACATCAGAGCGTTCTGCCTGAAGTTCGGTTCTCAGACCTCGGTGATTTGAAGCCTATTGCGGAGATTGAAGCATCGGAAAGAACAAGCGTTGCGGATGACAGCACTGCTCTCCCAGAGAAGCCAGACTCGCCCACACTCGGACCCTCGGGCCTTGGACTAAGTGGTCTGATTCGCACCCATCTCCGACGTGACAGCGATCGCTCGTCGTTCCACGTGCCACACTCTGCTGCATTCCCACCAAAACCCAACGATGACGAGGTTGATGGATCCGTGGCCAACGGATCGGATACGGCCGACGGTTCCTCTCAGCGCGCGTCCACGGACGGAAACAGCTCAAGGGACTCTCAGGACACTTCCAAGGTACCTTCTTGGGAGGATGAAATTAAATCGAAGCATAGACGTCAAGGAAGCACAGAGACCCAGCGGGAGCGAGAAGAATTCGAGATCGAGCTCGCGGAGCGGCGCAGGAGAGTGCAGGAAAAGCTGAGAGGGTTTGCTGAAAGCGAGAGTCGATCGGCTAGCCCGATCTCCGGACGTCGAACACCAGACTACCCCCCTCAAGCAAAGCCCGGCAACGCATTTGCCCTTTTGAAGAGCAAGAATCCCAAACATCCCTTCTTCAGCAGACAAGAGCCGAAGAATACCAAGGCGATCGGTCTCGCCAGCGCATCCACTCCAGCCTTGGTACCGGACGACCCCTGGCGAGAGGAGGACGAGAAGATGCCGTTCAGCTTCGGCAAGCACTCCAACACCAGCTCACCGCAAATCGCCGGAGAGAAGTCGATTCGATCCAGAGTGGCAGCCTTTGGCCGCGGCAGTCACGAAGGCTCCCGCGAATCGAGCCGCAGCCGTGGCGCCTCACCGCATTCAAGCATGAGGTCTCAGAGGGATCGTTCGGGCTCGGACGCCTCCGGCCGCTCCAAGAGCCGAACACGATACCGCGATCGCGATGATCTGGGGACACTAAAAGAAGATGCTGCCGGCTCCCCGGAGCCGTTCCCGCACTTTGACCCGCGAGCCGCCCCTTCGGTTCCATCCTCCACGCGTCCATCGGTAGAGGTCAATGATCGTTCGGCACCCTACGATCGTTGCTCCTCAGCCGCATCTGGACGCTACCGCAGCGGGAGTCGGTCTGCCACATCGAGCTACTTTGATCGACCTCCTCCGCCCTCTACCAACCCTTCCATGATTGGAGTGTCTCCTCGGCCGTCTCCGATTGCTCCTTATTCCGCCAATGCCACACCACCTCTACACGAAATGTCCCCGAATCCTTCCACGACATCTCTACCCACCCAGGCAACCGGCGCACACCCTCTGCCTCAGCGAGCCCCAGGCCATGGCGGTCTTCAAAAGCGGGTCATCGACAAGACGCAGATCTCCGAGCCAACTTTTGTGTCGTGCACATCCAACGTGCCGACTGTGGGTCTTCCCCCAGGCGCAAGCTTAAGTAACGGCATGGAGACGCCCCCAATCCCGCCTATGAACCCACGACGACGCCGCCAGACCACCACACAGACCATCATTGGCGCTCTCAAGGGCGATAAGCACGAGTCGTACCATCCGGCCTCGACAGTCAGCAGCCCTCCAGAGGAACATAGCACCTTCGACGACGACAAGAACAGGCGGCCCAAGTCCAAACACAACAAGCTCCGCAAGATCTCCAGCGATGGCGGTAATCTGAACTCCAAGGCCCGGCAGCAAGCGATGGCCGCTGCCGCTGCCCCTCTGCCCCCTGCACCGGCTGTCCCGCAATACCCGCCGCCCAATGTCCCCATAGAAGGGGGAATGTTTTAGGCGTATTATTTCCTTGCCGAAGAACTCTTTCACATTCCCTCATATATTTCCTTTCCTTTTTGTCTGCCTAGCATTCCGGATTCCACAATTTCCCTCCTTATATCTCCTCGTGTATCCCGATACCTCTTTATTCAGGGTTGATTCTTCTCGTCGACGACTATATACCAACTGCGTTCTTTTCATGTTGGGCGAAATGGGATTCTTTTCTTTGCTTACTGGGCTTACTATTCATATATAGCTTGTCATCCATGTATCATTCAGATACCTCTTCGTTTTGGACATCATCCGCATCGAACTAGCACTAAGGTACATTGTCAAAATATACAAAATAAGACAAGTATGAATTTAGATGGCGATAGAACGTATGAGACATCTAAAGCTGGTCTGTTTATGAAAGTAAAGAGTAGAACCTTAGACAAGGTGAGCGTTATTTCACATTGAGGTGAATCACGTGGTAGATGTTAGCCCTTCTCCCAGAATGAAAACAGTGATCATAGGAAGTACTTCGCACATGAAAGATGCAAGCTAGTTTTGAAACATGATGTGTAGAGTCAGAGTGGCTACCTTATAACTATACTAACAACATTGTTATTGAAGTTTAGTCCCAGTCCCAGACCAGTTGACATCGCTATAGCGACCAAGCAGTAACAGACCGAGAGATCTCTTCATACATCAACACATTACACTCTCTTTATCCTTTCCACATTTCACATAAACTTTCCATCTCATATTTCTATTTCATTCATAGGAAGTACACCCCTAAGGCCAGGCACATCTTCCATCTTCCTTGCCTTACTGCCTAACAGATAAAGGAAACAGAGTGGAAGAAGGCTATGCTTAGGCGCTACTCCATCTGCATTACTGATTTGCCATCTTGCACTCAGGTCTCCGGATCCGCTAGCGAGCCTTCGTTCGACTATCGCGATCCCAGCTGCAGATCTGCCCTGTGTAGAAACTGCTGCTCCGTTCCCCTCATGGCGTCGATGGTGCTCCCGCAGTTAGACGGATACGCAGAGAACCGCAGGGCGAAGAAGAACGCTCATAAGAAGAAGAAGAAGAAACAGAATAAGAAGAAGCAGTCGTCGCAGGGTGACTCCAACGCGCCGAGTTGCAGCGAGTCTCCTCCGTCGTACAAGAGTACGGCTGACGATGCTGATGCTGCCCAGTCGCGCGCTCCGTCTTCTGTGGATACGCTGCGCCTCCCACTGATTGTTGATGGGGCATCCTGGGGGAAGAAACATAGTCAGGCTCAGAGTCAATGTGAGTTTCCCATATTATTCTGTGGAGAATGATGGCCCTGATCGTTCGCTCCTAGACGCCTACGGGGTTAATCATCCCGCTTCGCACTCCTATCATGACACCTCTTTCGTCACACAAACCTCCGCTGCGCCTTTGCATTCCCCTTCCATTGCGGCATCCACCGAAGAGACAATCCGCGCTTCAAGTGTGCAAAGTGGGATCCCCGGGGACGTGAGCGTCTCTTCCTCGGCGCCCAAGAAACTGCCGTATTGCCATGTTCATGGAACGGCAACCTGCCGATTCGATCCCGAATGCTGTGTTCACAAGGCCCGGGCCGATTGCGACTGCCCTCGTCGGCCCTCGTGCTGCTGTGTCCACCACGCTGGAGATTGTTGTACCTGCGTGTACACCGCGCGGAGCGGGTATGTCAATGGAGCGTACAGCTTGATAGGCCATGATTTGCCATCGTATGCACCGCACCCAGTGTCCAAGAACGGCGAGGTGGTTTCAGCGGACCCCAAACACGTATCTAAGAACTGGCCGTTGAAGGATAACGAAACGAGCTCTAAAAATGTCGCTGAAAATGGAAGTAAGTTCATGAGTGAGTCGGAATATAGCATAGCAGGAGACTGATCGTGTCCTGCAAGCAGTCGCAAAGAAACATCCTGAAACCCCTACCGAATTTGACGACGGTCCCCTCGCCGCGTACATCCTTCGCCTCTATGACAGCGAGGAATTTCACGACTGCCGGATCCTACTGAAGTCGGGCAAAGACAACTTCCCACCGATCACCATCCGCACACACAAGGTATTGATCGCCCGCAGTCCTCTTCTCGCCGCAGTTTTGAAGTCACCTGCAGCCAAGCAGGATATACCCGAAATAGTAGCCATGGCGGGTGAGAACTTCCTGTTGGTCAAGGCGTTTGGGATTGCGCTTCAGAGTCTGTACGGGTTGGCCCTCTTGAACCAAAAACGGCTCAGGTCCATGACACTCTTCAGTCTGGGATACACCGAAGAGAGTATCAAATCGTCTCCATATCCGATCAACACGGCACTGGCGGATTTTGCCATGTGCTACGCCACCTCCGGGGCTTTCCTTCAGCGGCGTGATATTGTCGAAACGGGAATCAAGCTGATTGTGGAAGTCATCAACTGGGACAACATCGAATTGATCTTCTACTTTGGCTTCTGCATATCCAAGTTTCTCGTCACGGCGCCCCAGATCGCAGAGCTTGAGAAATCCTCAGCCAATCAGCCAGCCACCAATAACCAGGCAACGCCAAACAAGGTCAACGACGCCAACGACGAGCTCCTGACCAAATGGGCTGCGCATCTACTAACCGCCGCATTGGACTTTGTCGTCAGCCGCATGGAATCCGACTTCGCCTTGTTCCCTCAGGCCCACTGCAAAGGCATGCCCGACCGGATTCCCGAATACCTAGACTCCTCTCCCACACCTTCTCTCCCCAACCCAAAACTGGCAGAGGTCAAGTTCGGTTCCTTCGCAGCTCTCGAGGAACAGAAGCAAAGCCCAGAGATCGTGACCACGTCAGCCGTCCTCGTCTGCTTGCCCTTCGAGCACTTGAAGGAGGCTTTTGTCAAGATGAACGCACGCGGTATCTTGTCGAGTAGCCTGGCCCAGGCGATCTTGCGGGAGCGGGAGCGACGACGGGTTCAGGCCCTGCGTGCGTTTGCTCGGCTGCGCGCCCAGAGCAGCGAGCAGGAGATCCCGGCGGAGATAATCGAGCTGGGGTATCGGGAGTTCTTTACTTCGAGAAACGTTTTCTCTGATACCGCAGAGGACTCGTCTACCGCGTCTTTGGAGATTTCTCTGGAAAGAGAATGGATTGGATTGGCTGTTGGGGAGGTGGTCGTCAAGCACAGAGTGATTAAAATGGCAAAGGAGTAGATCCTCTTGCATTCGATCTACCACAGAGTCGGTGTTTGATTTCTACATTTCATGATCTAGAGAACAGAGCTGGCGGGAACGGGACCCTGAGTAATAGGTTGACTGTTGACAGCGGGTGAGCTATAGGAAAAGCAGGAAGATTGACTGTGATGGAGGCAGTGAGTTAATGATTTCTGCTTCTTGGTTACTATCTGATTGACATGTGCCATAGCTTGTCTTGTGCATTTGTTGTTCTGAAAGGAGTATCAGTCGATTTTTGAACATCTCCTTCTGGCAAGATGTCTTGAGTACTGGAGTTCTTATTCGTAACAAATGAAAATTTATTGTTCTTCAAGAGCTTCTTTCTATATAATGCTGGATTCTAGACATTCAAAGACCGCTGTTTATTCATTATATACAATCTTTGTCGACAGTACACCCGCGTTGCTCAGTCTACGGAGGCGAGAGGAAGAAAGTCGCTTACGACTTATCTGGGAAGCCGAAGTCAACACCGAAAGGAGGATAGACGAACCGCTGGAAGGCGTTCTTCTCAGCGAGTTCGTTTGTGTACTTGGCGATGGTAGCCATATCCTCATCATCGATCTTGATCAGGCTGGTGCGGTTCTCTTCAATACGTGAAGGTGTGACGGACTTGGCGAGAACGGAAGATCCACGGGCGACTATTGCAGTAGAATGTTAGTGAGCTGAGTGGCAGACAAGAAGGGGATAATTGTATTGGCAATGTGAAACGTACTGTGCCAGCTGAGGAGAACACTGGCCGGGCTGACTCCTCTCTTCTTCGCAACCGCGACAATAGGCTCAGCGGTGAACAAGGGGCTTCCTGTGCTTCCCAGAGGGCTGTATGCGGTGATGTGAATTCCCTTCTCCTTGCAGAAATCTACAATCTCCTGTTGAGGAAGAGATGGGTGGTTCTCGATCTGGTTGACGGCCGGAACAACAGTCACCTCGGGCAGTAGCTGCTCAAGGTACTTCTTGCTGTAGTTGGAGACACCAATAGCCTTGGTTTTGCCGGTAGCCAGCAGCTTCTCCATGCTCTTCCACGTGGTGATGTGGGAGTGCGAGTGGACAATGTCTCGGGAGCCATCGGGGTGCTTGGGGAACAGCTCATGATTTCCTTTCAACTAATTAACTCCTCTGTGCTTGTCAAAGAGCTGAAACGTTCTTACCCTCAGGGTTCATGGCCAAGGGCCAGTGCATCAGGTAGAGGTCTACGTAGTCCAAGCCCAGGTTCTTCAAGCTCTTGTCCAGAGCCTCTTCGACTCGTGTATGGTATGTGCACCACAGCTTGGTGGTGACAAACAAATCCTCACGCTTGACCTTTCCAGATTGCAACGCCTCCTTGATGCCATTGCCGACCTCTGTCTCGTTCTGGTAGCAGTAGGCAGTGTCGATGTGTCTGTATCCTACAGAGATAGCATGGCTGACAGCCCTCTCAACCTCTCCAAGCTTCGATTGCCATGTTCCTGTCTTGAATAAGCTGGCGTGTTCACAGCGGACGAACGTGGGGGAAGAACATACCCAGACCCAAGGCGGGGATCTCCGCACCAGTATTGAGCTTGAAGCGAGTTTCGTATACAGCCATGATGATTCTTTTAAAGTGACGATAGAGGTGAGGGGACGCTATTGTTTCTTTGATATTGTAGGTAAATCAGACAGGAACGGTTAAAGGAAGAATGAGTGCCAAAGAGTAGAAAGAATCAGGAGTCAGACACGTAGGAGAATAGCTGCCCCTCATAGGTATAAAAGACACCCCGCGCCAATGCGGACCAGACGCCGGAGTTTCTCCATCAATCAGCACCAGCGTGGGGTCGGTCTATCTTTACGGCGACAATTCCCGAAGATGAATGGCATCATTTGTACCGCGAAGGTGTTATTACAATTATTTCTTTTATGAAAGACTTATCTAAGTTATACGTCAGGTGTCTATGATCTGCTACAGAATGATCGACGGCATGGTGAATGGCGAGAATTTCCAGGCCTCCCTCCGCTGGCTGTCCCCAGCATCGTACTATCTCCATTTTCTGACCTCTGCGGACACTATGCTGTAGATGAGAGCTGGATGGAGCCATCTACTGACGCAGCAGTCTCTCATTAAAGCTGACAAGTGCCAGAAAATTGTTCACTTCCACCTTGCCTGACCATGTCAATTGCTATCAACACAGAAACAAAGACAAAAGTCAACGGAATATGAGAGTGGGACGAAGGTTGAGGAGAATTCCAGAAATCGCAGAGAATTCCGTTATAAACGAATGATGTTCCGGGGTCCTGTCAATCCATGGGTTGACCCCGTCCATCCCACGCGAAGTCTGTCATCATAAAAAGAAATTCAGGGACTCGGGGAGAATGCAGAATGGACCTCGGAAACCAGAATCCTTAAGACTGTGGCCACAACGGCCGACATCCGAACTTTGCCCCGCGGTTATGAAGTCAGCAGACATGGATCATGGCCAGTGCCGGGCCAGGCATACTCAACAATGGTCAGCATGATTTACACTGCGTCTCCACTAATGCCCGCATACTCCAGACTGAATGGCCGTCCCTGAACGCCTGGTCCAGATCTGTGTCTTCGATCTGCCCTATCCTGCAGCTGTGGAGATTTGTCTGGAGCTAGTCAAATTGTCATGGATTCTCGAATATGCGGAAGCCAGAATCCGTGCACTCATGCTACTCCTATCAGCCTTTGTCAAATCAGTCCATATTCACCGTTGTGGGTTCCGTTTCAAGCAATTTTCAGCATGTATTCACGTCGGGTCATGGATTCCCACGGGCAACGTGGCGTCGAACCTATTGGTATTCGTGCAGAACAGTAAATAACATACCTATATACCCGGCCACTGCTACTGAGCAGGGAATACTCTCCATCGATCATATAATAACATCGCAACACCCACTGCATCTCTTCTTCCTTTGTTCCCAAGCACCATCACCCGTTCCATCCTCTCAATCTTGATCAAGAAGCAGTATAAAGAGTTCCTTTTATTAGCCTTCTTTATCTACAACACAATGGCACCAGTTGCGATGAGCCCCGAACCTGCGGTGTTCAACACCAAGCGCGATGGACATGCACTCGAGGACCTGTCCGACGCTATCGACACGGTCAACGTCCTCAAGGACGAGATGAAAAAAGAACGCGGATTGTATGAGGAATCAGAGTTCGACAAGAACAAGGACAAGACTCAATTCCGCCAGTACGAGGATGCTTGCGACCGCGTGAAGAACTTCTATCGCGAACAGCACACCAAGCAGACAGTTGCCTACAACCTCAAGGCTCGCAACGACTTCCACTCGAAGACTCGCGCTGAGATGTCAATCTGGGAGGCCATGGAGAAGCTGAACACCCTCATTGACGAGTCTGATCCCGACACCAGCCTCTCGCAGATCGAGCACCTGCTACAATCAGCCGAGGCCATCCGTCGCGATGGAAAGCCCAGATGGATGCAGCTGACCGGCCTCATCCACGACCTCGGGAAGCTCCTCTATTTCTTCGACGCGCAAGGACAGTGGGATGTTGTCGGCGACACCTTCCCAGTGGGCTGCGCATTCGACGAGCGCATTATCTACGGAAAAGAGTCTTTCAAAGAGAACCCCGACTACGATCATGAGATCTACGGCACCAAGTACGGAATTTACAACCCTGGCTGCGGTCTTGACAACATCATGCTCTCCTGGGGTCACGATGAATACCTCTACCACGTGGTCAAGGACCAGTCTACTCTCCCGGATGAAGCCCTTGCCATGATCCGTTACCACTCCTTCTACCCATGGCACCAGGCTGGCGCCTACCACGAGTTCATGAACGAGAAGGATCAGAAGATGCTCCAGGCCGTCAAGGCCTTCAACCCCTACGATCTGTACAGCAAGAGCGACGATGTCCCGTCAGTCGAAGAACTGAAGGTGAGCTTACCCACCCTCACATTCCACATCCAGAGTCATAAGCTGACGCACATTTCACAGCCCTACTACCTCGAACTCATCGACGAGTTCTTCCCCAATAAGCTCATCAAGTGGTAGACATCTGTCGCCTTGCATCTTTGAAAATGTTCATCTCATTTGGATTTCGGCGTTCCGTTTACATTGTTTCATACAACTCTGCCTCATTTGACGAAAGCGATGGATGATTTTACGACTTCAATTACGTGCATGCTTCTCCAGTCTTAATAGATATTTATCTTTGTCACCTGCCCTCCTGAGCGAGGACTCTAGATTAGCTGCAGGCACAGTTCAATGCAGTTCTACTCTGTCTGGTATACGGGCAGCAGAATACTCTAATGACCTTTTTCCAGTGCAACGATGTACTTCATATTCGTTTTACGTAGCAAGCATAGGAAATAATCCTGCAACTCTTCTTGCATGCCGTACCAGGAATAATTCCAGTCTCATCATCTGTCCTTCCTCCAGGGAAATTCATGATTTTCAGTACAGATGACTTCATATGCTTTGTATTCAATGCATCCCATTGCATGTTGTTGACCAACCGGTGTCTCGGAAACAAGGTTCCGTGTGGGTGGCGGGGAATAAACAACGCAATCTCTTTTCGCCTACGGTTCTGGTCTTCGTGGCAATTGACAAAGAGGACGAGTCTGTGTTGCAGAGATTTAAATTTTGATCTTCAAATAAACGGGTTGCCATTGGCAGGACAGGAGGATCCAAAATGCATCTCGTAGATGAGTTCATGAAATGATATCTATCTATATACTATGCAATCATGCAATTACCAAAAATAGATCAGATGATTTAGAGCCTCGACTTATCGATACGATTGCCCGCCTCATCAAAGAAGATCTTCTGACCGGTAATCAGAGCTTCTTGGAGAGCGCATCCTATCCGAACAGCCTGCACAGCACCATCGAGCTTCACAGGGACGTCTTTGTTGTCCAGGCATGCGGCCGTGAACTCGTTAGCCTCGGTGACGAATGCGTATTCAAAACGGTCGTAGTAGTTCTGCGGAATCTCTCGACGCACGCCGGTGCTGTCGAAGATGTTGACATGGTTCATAGCCGGCTGAGTGTTGATGGAAAGCTTGCCCTGGGTGCCGATGATCTCGGTGGTATCTTCCTGGCCCGCCGCCATCATGCGCGAGGCGTAGAAGTATGCGATCTTGCCATTGTAGAACTCGACCAGACCCACCGCGTTGTCGCGGTCGTTGTGTTTGCGCAGGTCGGGCTCGACCGCCGTGATGCCTACGGCTGAGACGGACTTGACCTTGCTGTCCTGACCGAAGAACCAGAGCGCCAGATCGATATCGTGGATCGAGCAGTCGACGAAGATGCCCCCGGAGAACTCTGCGTAGGCAACGAAGAAGCCCGTGGGATCGAGCTTGTCGCACGTCTGGCTGCGCATCACGGACGGGGAGCCGATGGACCCCTGGGTCATCTTCTTATGCGCGTCGCGGTATGAAGCGTCGAATCGCCGGGAGAACCCGCACATCACCTTGAGTTCAGGCTTTCTGGAGGCTGCGTCGAGGACGGTTTGCGACTGGCAGCGTAAGCGTTAGCTGGAGTTGCAGAAACCACAGAAAGAACATGCAAAGTACATACGATCTCGACACTTGTGGATAGCGGCTTTTCGCAGAGGACATGCTTGTTGGCGTCCATAGCTTTGATTGCCTGTTCCGCGTGCACAGCAGTGGCAGAAGCCACAACGACAGCTTCTAGCCCTTCGTGCTTGAGCATGTCGTCGTAATTCTTGTACAGCTTCACTCCGAAAGGGGCAAGGTGCACCTTTGCCCACTCTAGCTCTGCATCGTCCGGGGAGCTGGCAGCAACCAATTCGGCTCGCGGCGTGCGCTCCAAAAAGTTCAGGGCATGGCGCTTGCCCATGCGACCGAGACCTGCGCAGCCAACCTTCAACTTTCTGGCGGACATTTTGGTAAGGAGAGAAAAGGATGAGTGAGATAATAGGCTGTGCAAGGTTGAAATTGGGAGATTTTTAGATCAATTGGTCAGTGAAGGAAGAGAATAATGGAGAGAAGCACGCCCAGATCAGGGACGAGCAAGAAGACTTAAATCAGCCTGGAGATCCTTTCTATGCTCTAAGAACTGCAGACCGCTATGTCTCCTGCGTCAGATTGTTGGACAGGCAACAAACCGAAGTCTCTTACCCCACACAATGAGGAGAACTCGTGCAACTCAGGTTGGAGAGCTCAAGAGGCCCAAACAGGCGAGAAAGTCCTCTGGCATTTCCATTACTGATGAGCTTTGAACCAGGAAATAGGAACCCAGATCTGAATAATGACTTCCGGCAGCGCTACATTATTGGAGTAGTATCCAGATTGTTCCAGGGTATCCACTTTCAGCACCAGCGGGGAAAAGGTCGGAAAAGAGCTTCCATTGCCGATTTTCCTCCAGCAGATGCCTGAATCCAGCAACTTTCCCCGCCCTGAGGATGCACTATGGGTATGATCTCCCCCGTGGTAAGTTGAAATCTATGGAGAGCCGAGAAGAGCTTGAGCCATTCAATCCTCGATGCGTTTGGTTTGTCGGCTAATTGATCCAGATTAGACCTTGAGCATAAACAATGGGATGGATGCGCCATGTCAAAGGGATAAGAGCAGCGACGTTACGACTGTTCTCCTCACACCGGCACTTCTTAGAGCTGTGTCGAGATAATGAAGCCTATCATTGCTCCGTTGTAGTGTAACGGCTATCATACCTGTCTTTCACACAGGAGATCGGGGTTCGATTCCCCGCAACGGAATACAATCCTTTTGTTTTTGTTTCTCTTCATCCCAACTGGTCAATGGTGCGTTCATTGTCTCATTAATGCTCCCAGTCAGCATCACTGCATAACCAGTCTTCTGCCTTAGGACTAAAAAGTATGGACAGAGCCAGATATCTCCTGCTAGCGGCATGGCCTTTCACGTGCTCACCGCCGGACTTTCCTCCTTTCCCCGCAGAGCTGTCCGCATGGTTTGGATCGTTCTTGATATGGTGCAGTCTTTGAACGTTCTATTCATCTTTCCTCAATTAGAGATTCTGACTGGACAGACTCTGGTGCTACATCGTGATGGCGTTCTGACTTGCTTTCAGCTCTCACGGAAGAATCTTTTCTTTCATTCGGCGCATAAACCCTTACCCACGCGTCATCCGTCGCGTCCTGGTTGGAGTAAGACTAGAGCTTAGCTTCAAAGCCGTGTGCTAGAGCCGCCATTTCTTCGCTCTAGGTAGGTCAGTAATGATTGTTTGAACAATCAAATTGAATTATCTCACTCACGTGTCTGTAGATTCCTCATCCCTCAATCTTCGGCCCTCGTTATAAGTCACCTCGCAATACCCGTCATGGACTCGCCGCGTCCTCGTAACTGGAACCAAAAGTTATTTGCCACGTATTTGGGCGGGACAGACAAGGAGATTCACGAGTTGAGGCGCGTCCTGACGCAGTTGATGAGTGCACATGGCAAATTGGACAAGGGGTACAAGTCGAAGGCTGCCAGAACGGAACTGCAAGAGTGGATACAATTGAACTTGCACCGACTGCCTGGTTTCGTCCAAGATGCCTGTTTCAACAAGACTCGGATGGACGGGCTAATGGGGATGGCCTATAAGATTAAGAACGAACATGTACATTATCTTGCGGCACGCGGAAGACCCAATCAGGCCGCCGAACCGCCACCGAGCACCTTCGACCAGGGCAGCAGCGTTGTCCCCGCAAGTCAGAGAGTCGAACGGGAAGATAATCGTGAGGTTGATCAGCCCACCAGCAATATTCCTAGCAATACGGTTGAGCAGCAGGTCAGGGCAGTCGACGAGTCCGGGCCGGCAGTCACTGCGCAGGAGGAGACTGTAGCCGAGCCACCGAGCAAAAAAGCCAGGACAACACCGACTCAAGCTGCTCCACTCCAACCTCCCCTGCCAGATCTACTCTCCCGGAATATATGGGTTCTGAACGAAGTGAACCCCGCTCAGCATGGCCTATGCTCGATGCAAGACCTTCTTACAACCCCGGAATCGCGCAAAATCGATTTCATACCGCGGCTCATTGATTTAGACTTTGACCATTGGCTTTCGATAGTGGAAGCGCAATGTGGCTACGACTTTACTGCGCATCGTTTGGAATATCGCCCTCCAGCGAACGTGGTGTCTCGCTCGCTGGGCCTACCACCGATCACGATACCTTTGTCGACTCAAAGCCAGTGGCGTGGTGCGATAAACTCGCAGATACATGCCGAAGGTGGCCGAGATCCTGTTTTTTATTTGGTTGCACAATGTGAGTCTGTACGCATATAGCCTGAATGTCAGGGTCACTAACCTGAAGCCAGCAGGAGAAGATGTACAAAATCCATCAACGCCTCCGCTACCTTCGCCTTCATCTGCAAACAATTCTTCCCGCGCTCGTCCCCCTCTTGTTGTCAAGCAAGAGTACGTTGAGGAACAGCTGAGACTCGTCAGGAATGCATAATTGATGTTCCTGGCGCAGTGTCGGGCTATTTGGATATCATAAGGGTACCGAAAGAGGCAGCTGCCGATGTGAAAAGTTCACTCATATCCTAACACGCTCTATTCGTCTAAGCGCAGATCGCATTTCATGATCTCCCTTACGGTGGTTGTTCAGAATGCCTAGACGTATAACATATTCATCGCTATGGGACTAAGATACAGAAAACATATCGCCAAGGCGCAGAAGAATCGAAAGCGAACAGGAGTCAAGTGAAATGCGAGCAGTGCATAGGCGCATTTGATGGAAAAAGGACGCTCAAGACTGTGGGTCTCGAGTACATTACCCTTGCGCCTCATTGCCAGGCTGCTTCTGGGTAGATGCCTTTCTGGCCTTCTTCTTCGCCGCAGCCTCCACAGGGTCAACGAAACCATCTCCTCGCAACCACGCCAAGGACTTTCTGACACCTTTGCCCTGGACAGCGGATGGTCTGTTCTCCAGCAAAGAGCCCACGACCGCCCAGGCGAGGACAATGATCCACAAGTCTCCACCCTTCCAGCCTTTCCAGAGGCCATGTTTGACACCAACGTCCCACTTCGAGCGCACGGCCAGCCGGAAGAAGTACATGAAGATGCTACGACTGTTTTCTAAGAAGGCAAACGGCATGCCTGCAACTGCACCGCTGAGGAAGAAGCGCTTCGTGGGGAGGACGGAGCGTGGCAGGATAGCATTCCAGAGACACAAGGTGGCCCATGCAGACCCAGCAGCAGCGGAGAGAATGGCTGTCAGCTTGATGATCTTCTTTGAAAGGTTATTCACCGCCGAGATTGGGTGAGACAAGATTGTCTTGAATTTGAGCACCGATAATGCCAGGGTGACGGTGGTCAGGAACCGAGCAAGCGGTGGCACTGAGAGGAGAATATGATGTATGAAGGCCGTGCCGCAGCTGGGGCTGCTCGGATGAAGCAAAGCGCATGCCAGGCTAGAAATAGACGGGTGCGCGGGCCCAGTTATAGGTGAAATGAACTTGACTGCCGATGGCAGAGTATTCGGGTCGGCAGGATGCAAAATCGGCGAAAAGAATGCTCTGTTGCGTTATAGAATTAGTAAATTGTATACCGTATGCTACCCATAGTAATGTAGAACTCACGGCCACCGCAACCTGGCAATGTTTGCCAGTGCATCAACCACAGCTTCCTTGTCCGGCCACGGAAATGCCGCTGGCAGAGTCTCTGGTCGACCGCGGATGTAGCTGGGGGACAATCTGAACAGAATGTTTCCGAACCACTAAACGCCAATCAGTACGCGCCAGAATATAGGAGTGCGCAAAAACGGAGAGAACATACCTTGGGCACCGTCTCGCGATCAAAAACAAACGCATGGAACAGCTGCGCACACGAGACAGGCATCAACAACCAGCTCCCAAACCACCAAGGCTGCTCCCCGAAGCACCCTTTCTCGTCCAGCGCATTGAACACAAACTCCATCGTCCGCGTCCCCGCATAGATAGCCGCCGTAATCCGCAGCTGCGTCTGCGGGCAAATGCCCAGCGCGAAACCGGCCATACTTGCCCCGACGGCAGGGGCATATCGCGACGTCAGCGCCCTTGAGACGCGCGGGTTGCGCTCGCGAAACGGCCTCGCGTCATCTGTGCGAAGGTTCGTGCGAAGCTTGACGAAGAAGCGATGGAGAAAACGGTGAAGGAGGACGACAAGGGAGAGCGAGAGGGAGAGGCGGAAGTTGGGGGAGTGCTGGATTGAGGAGCGGGGTTTCTTCCTAGCATTGGAGCAAAAGCGTCAGCGTTAGCGCTATTTACTATTTATGCTGTATTTGAACCCTCCGATATGGGACACCTACTTGGACAGATCACCTTGGATGCGGCGCACGGTGGCTTCTACGAGCTTCAGTACTCCGCCGGAGACGAGGAAGACTCGCAGGGAGGCCCGCAGCGCGGCTTCATTGTGCTTGTTCTTTGATCGGACGATGGCCTCATATCGAGATGGCGAGGGAGCCTTGTCTTGGATGGAAGGAGGTGTGCGCTGGATGATGTATTCGTGGAGGAGCTTGTATTCCTTGGCGCTCAGGGTGATGCGGAGAGCGTTGCGAACGAGAGGATGGGCGTCTGCGTCAGCGGGCGTCATGGTTCATCGAACTTCGGGCAAGCATCAAAATAGATGCTTCACCGCTTGGAATAGAATCGCGAACAGAGGGATGAGACGGAGGAGAGGTGAGGATGCAGAAGGAAACGAAATGAATCGCCCAGAATTTCTCCGCTTCTTAGATGGAAGCTGAAGTCACGGACCGCTGGCGACCTCGGCTTGTGAGTGGATGCTCATGCAAGTGCCGCTCATAGAACTGCGCGATGAAATAAACTGCAAGAGACCAGTTGATTCAAAATAGCTTTAAAGATTCACAACTGTAATGATGTCTATCGCAGGCCATTTATGCTGCTCTACTCCGTGCGAGTGTCAACTAATCATTAAACCAGATACAGATCCCTGAATGTCCCCCATTTCCTCGGGAAAGCTGCTTACAACGATGTAGCACCGATAATTGAGGCAGTCGAGAAGAGTCGGAAGAGAAAAACGTAATAACGGCAAGAAGACATACATACAAAAAAGGGGAAGAAATGGGGAATATCAACGCCGTGCAAGAATCCACCGTAACACGATGCGCGCCATTATAAGACTCCAGAAAATCTAGACTGCAGAAGGAAGATCACCAGAAACTACACCATCCAATCCAATGCTGACATATGTTCTCCACGCTCGTTGCCTGCGCGAGAAGTTTGTCCACTTGATCACTCACATTGAGCTCTTCAGTGGGCTTGAAGTCTCTACCTGTGAGCTTCTCCTTGACCCGAGCAAGCACCTGCACTGCTCGTGCATTCTGTGCCTCACGGGCTTCGGGCGGAATGCCCTCTTGGACATCGAGGATACCACCGTCGAGAATAGATGGGCGGCGGTGACGGGAGAAATTGCTGGGCTGAACGCCATGTTCAAGATTCATGACGGACGTAATCGACTGTCGGCGCTCAGTGCTGAACGGCGGCCGTTCTGGTGACTCGCGAATGTTCAGACGCCAGTTGATCAAGGGATCGTGAATGAACTATAGCAAAAAATCGAATGTTAGTTTCAAAATACCATCTCGGTGAAATACTGAGTGAAAAATGGACAAAACGTACTGCTTCCAGAACGGCCATAAGGGAATCCTTGTTGTCTCTGATCACGCGCATAACAGCCTCGCAAGTGATACGGTAGCTTCCCTCGATATTGCTGACTTCCATGGCGAAAGTCAACATGCGAGTTAACCGGAAGGGCACCCTCTCTGGATACTTCTCACGGTGCATTGCCACCTCGAAGCAGTCACCGAAATCGATATGGACCACTCTCCCGGTGGCGCGCTCCAGCAGAAGGTTGGACGGATGACGGTCACCCAAGCCCAGAATGTAGCCCACCATCGACATGACTCCCAGAGATCTTGTATAATTCGTCCGACGCTCAAGCCAGGCCTCGGAACTCTTACTTTTGAGCCAGAGAACACGATACAGATCCTTTCCAGTAGTGTTGTCCATGGCGTATCCGAAGACCTCGACCTTTTGCATCAGAGTGAGATTGTCGTAATCTGGCGCCATCTGCAGCATAATACGATGTTCGATATTGAGTAGGATGCGGCGACTTTCACGGTACTCTTTGATCAGCGCATGTAATGTATCGCTGTTGCAGACCCATCCTATCAGACCAGAGTTCTGAGACAAGGGGATTGCAGGGAAACGCTGGACGGAAAGATGTCGCTTGAAGGTTTCGCCATCGTTATCAAGCAACGTGTTCACAAGTCCGAACAACTGCATGACTCTCTCGTCTTGCCGAATGTCCTCATGTCCCTTAAGGGCATACATGTAAGAGCTTCCGTTGCTTCCCTTCAGAGTCATGCGTCGAGGTCGCTTCTTAGTTTGAAGCACGTGCAATATAGGATCAAAGCTGATGATCCGGATGATTGGTCTGCCACTCTGGTAGGTTCCGGGAACAGCAAGGGCAAGGTCATGACAGTCCTTGAGCCTGGGAGAGACGTATTTGAGGTCAAGAGTCGACAACTGTGGGAGCTGCCGGCTGATCTTGCGGAATACAGTATAGTAGAGATCCCAAGCTTGGTTGAGATCGCCAATTTCTTCCGTCTCACGGTACAACATACAATAGTGCTTCGCCTCTGCAAGATCCCGTCCAAACGCCTGCGCGAAAGAAACCTCACGCAGCGTTTCCGCACCCTTGTCAAGCATGTCATGCAGTGGCGCCAGAGTCGCAAACATGCCCTCCACATCATGGTCACCGAAGTAGAGTCGAGAGGCTTCTTCCAAGCCTTCATGCCAGAGTTCGTGCCACAGCACCGCGACTCGAATCAATTCATGACTGACAAGATCGGCTTGCTCGACTAAAGTAGCGCTGTGCTGCCGCATACTATCCATAATGGTGCTGGCGGATTGCGAACGGCGGGTAATGTGCGATTTCATCGCAACGGTTAATGGGTACACCAGCGCCTGCGGATGGGCCTTTCCCACTTCGGCCAGGAGGCGATGAACAGCGGTGCGGACCTTGAGGTTTGGCTGGTTGATACGAGCGATGAGTTGTGGAGTTACCGCAAGCCAGGTGTCAATGTTCACTGCGGTGAAGCCTTCTGTGACAACATTATTAACTTCTTGGTCACCGCCGTAAGTGAACCAAAGGGTCAGCAGCCTCAGGGTATCCTGGAGAGACGAGGTGGACGACAAAGCGATTGATCGGAGGAAGCCTCCAATGGCAGGTATGACATGCTCTGTCACAATATGGCCAGGGACTACGGGCTTGATACTCCCGTCCCTGCTTGTCTGACTGGCAATCGTTGTCACGACTTCGAAGTTGGCCAACGCCCAGGAATGCCAGGCTTTGTACGAGTCGCGGTTGTATTTCGTGGCAGCAGAATATGCGCCAAGAACCTCGCGAACGTGTTCGGGCTTCCAGTCGCCTCGTTGCAAAGTTGTCTGCCACTCTCCCTGCCTAAGATAACTCTTAGAGAGCAGCTTGCGGAATTTGGCTACATCGCCAATACGTTCACGGAGACCCATCATATCCGCATGATTTGCCTCTGTAATTCCGTTGACACCATTGATTCCGTTATGATCAGGCTGTGATACCATGAGCGCGTTAAAACGATTCAAGTCATCCGTCAGATTTGCAGTGAACTCTTTTAGCATCTGAAGAGCTTCACGCTGGCGACCAGTAGCCCAATTGAATTTCAAGCGAGCGTACGTCACTTCGGGAGGAGCAATAGTTCTTGTGCCATTGTTGTCAGTGACAACAGTCTCCAAAGATGCAAGAGATCGCTCGGCAAGTCCCATGCGATTTGATTTACGACAGAGGTTGGCAAATTTGATCCACATATCAAGGTTTTCGCGGGGTGAGGTGACGAGCGCCCTGACCTTGAGCATGCGTTGCCATACTTCAACATTCTGTTGGCAGCCGAGCAACCTCTTGTTCCATGTCTGACGCATTGACTCCTGTTTCTCAGGGTCCCCAATGTTCTGTTTGTAGGTGATGATCTCCTCCAATTCAGCAAGCATCTGAACACGGACGACAACGTTGTAGGCACGGTTATATGACTCTCCAAGTAAAGCTGATAGTTCCGTGTCGAGGCCGTTCCGAGCTTTCTCAATGTACATTGTCGCCTCATCAAATTGATTTCGATGGATCGCGAGAATTGCACCGAAGAAAGACCTATCCGGGGACTGCTCTTTCATCACACCCAAATAGGAATCCATCAGCTCCCATTGACCTCGTCCCCATGCTGCTGCTGCTGCTAGGGGAGCAATGGCTCTGCGATGTTCTAGCGAAGCCTGGTTCCACTTCTCTTGGGCGAGGTCAGATAATACCTTCCACTCGCCAAGCGCATGCAGACACCGCATTTTGCCCATAGTGACACCAAATGAGTCTGGGTCAATTTTCTCACGGCGTTTGTAAGCAGCAAGTGCCTCTTCCCATCGCTGAAGTTTCTCAAACCATGTCTCCTTCAGCTCTACATCCCTGTATGCTTGGGCTTTGCGAAGGATACCAATAGCGGCGTCAGACTGCTGAAGCTGGTTGTTAATGGTGATCAGAGCCTCCACGGCGCCGGAGTTCTGATCTTGCTCGAATTCCAGCTCTTTATAATGGAGTGCCTTGGCAAATGCGTGACACTTTGCGGCGTACTTGCCAAGTGTACGAATATCAATGGGAAGAGCCTTATCATCATGCTCCATAAACTCAGCAAGATTGAGAAGTATTTGGAGTATCTCAGGAGGGATATTGGGTGAAGTAAGAGCCTTCTCAATTGAGCGTACGAGCTCTTCTTGATACTGATCGTACAGCTCCGTCCAGCAGGATACAAATGCTGCGTTAAAGAGGTCCCTTGCTAATGGCTGGTAGATACCAGCCAAACTGGCGCATGCTCGGAGTGCTGGTGAAGGTGATTCTTTCAGGAGCTCGACGCTGAATCTTCGTATCCATTCCTGCCAGTCTTCACGCGTTGACTTCTGAGAGGCATCCCAAGCATTCTTCAGATGTTGCTGATTCACAACCATCTTCTTCTGGCCAATGTCAGAATAGCTAGATTCATCCGCCAGTGTACCCGTAGTTTCATCGGGATTCAAGTCCTGTGGCAACGGATCGCCCTTTTGGAGCTTGGAAACTAGAATCTGGTAATTGACATGATTGATCTGGTGATGCGTCAAGACCTTGTTCAGGAGATTTATGTAGTGGCAGAAATCCTGGCCGAGCTGGAAGATAAGAGCACAGATACAGTCCATGGCTGCTTGTCTTAAGGTCCGGTCGTTGCCTGCAACAACCCGAGCCAAAGAGTGAATCATCAAAGATGCAAAATCAGAAACATTTACTTGTCGCGACAGCTTTGTAAGGCTATCGATGGCCGATTTCCTGATACTTTGAGGATTCTGGGCTCTCTCAAAGAGCCGTACCATAGATGGGATGATCAGATGCATGTATTCTTCCCCACTGGCGCCAAAGATGAGGAACGCATGCAGAATCCTTTCTGAAGGCTGGCGGCGAGGCGTGTTGTCCTTCTCAAGAGTGTCCAACATTGAAGGAATCATGGCTGCCAGGTACTTTTTGAACTCACCCTCCAGAGACTTGGCTATCGCTTCAACAAGTGACAAGATAGTCGCTTGCACTTGGTAGGATGAATCCCAAAATTCCTGGATGACCTCGATAATCTCCGGAAGGAAGGCTCGAATATGCTGTCGGACAATATTCACCAAGATAGCCATCTGATTGAAGTAGGACTCTAGGCGGCTAGGCGGCGAACCTCGGATGACAGATATGAAGCCGGGAATGATCTGCCCTAAAAACGGTACGCACTTCAGACCCAGAGTTTTGAAGATTGTAACAATCGCATCAATGACCGCAGAGTGGTACTGAGCGAGAGAATTCTCACGCAAGATATTCTGCATCAAGGTATGGATGACCACGGTTGGATAATACTCCTCGTTGGAAGGCGTGAGGCCCTGCATTATGAGGGCAACATCAGAAACTGTCTGAATTTCGTTGATGTGGTGGACATCGGGTTCGATTTCACTGATCTGTTGGTACTTGTACGGATCAAGAGCACCAAGGATTCCCAGTAACTTGATGGTCTCTTTGCGCAGCGACCCAGTTTGCTCAGTCTTGATGATATTAATGAGAACGGCAAGTAAATGAGGATATTCCAGAAACGGATCGATGACATAGCCAGAGTTGCTGGCTAATTGGCCCAGCGTCCGCAAAGCCGACTCTCGCTTAGCATGGGAAGAGAGATCCTGCAACGAGTCCAGGATAATTGGCATGAGCTGCGGGAGGTAATTTCTCATTTCCGCGCCCCCGACACTCGCAAGTTCCCCGACAGCTTTCAATGTGGTCGAGGCGACGCCTGGGTTGGCATCCGTCGCCTTCGGAAGTAACGTTGTCACCATAGGATCGACATACGACCTAATAAGTTTGGTCGCATTTGATACGAATAGGCTGATGAGTTGAGCACTCTCCTCTTTCTGTCGGGCTGTGCTCGCGAACCCAAGCCCTGTCAGAAGATTCACTAGCAATTTCCGTAGTGGCGGGAACACATAGGCTGGGTTGACGCTCGAAAGGCGGCCAATGATGCAAATTGCAGCTTCCCGAACGGCAAATACTTCGTCGTTTACGGCCAAGAACAGGCAGCGGATGTTTTCTGGTCTTGCGAGATGACGATCGAATTTTCGATCCAGTGACCATAGTACGGTACGTCGGATCTCCGGGTCTGGGTCACCGATCCCGACAGTCAATAATTTATCAATAACTTCACTGACAACCTGTATGGAGTGACTGCTTGTCTGATTGATGATCGGATCATGGACAAAAAGCTGGCAGCAAGTGAGCGCTGCAGCCTTCCGAATCTCAGGATTGTCGTTCTCAACGTAATTAATGGCTACATCGCGCACAAATTCATTGAGAATGTGACCGGAGAAATCAAAACTCCCCAGGGTATGAAGCGCCAGAGCAATTTCTGCATCAGAGTGCAACTCTTGAGGAGCGAAGTCCTTTGCGAATGACGGCATGGGAGGTAGCCTGCTCTCTGGGCAACCGAGGGGACGGAAGGGTGTCCCATGAAGGATCAGGCTGAGCATATCCAAGAGCTTTTCCTGGATGGTAGGTTTGATAGGCGGGATATAGTGAGCCATGTCGACAAGCGCTTGCGTCAGTGATTCGCTCAACCCGCATGCAAATATAGGGTCAAGCAAAGATTCCATGTATTTACTGAGCGCCTGCTCAACAGCCAAAGATAGCATGCTGATGCACTCAAACATTGGTGCTTCATTTACAGCAGCTCGGTTTCGACTAGCAAAATGTTAGCTCACTTTCAATGACATGAGACCACAGAGACTTACGCTTTCAGGGCCAATCCTTCGCGTATGTAGATAATGATTCCATCAAGATACTGTGCAATGGCAGCACCCACTGCATTGGCGATTTTTCCAATCGCTATGAATGCTGCGTCTCGTTCCTTGTCTCTCTTCAGTTGTGCCTGCAGGTAAATCATGAACCTATGTAGGTATGTTTCTGTAAAGTCGACAGGCGCGTAGGAGGCAAGTATAGGGATCGTCTGGACAACTTGGGCCCGAATCTTATGGTCACGGTGATCCTTTAGACGGAGGACAATCTCACATGCATTCCGATAATGCTCGTTCATGAACATTGCTCCTTTGAGGAGAAGCTCCTTGAGTACTAGGAGCGATCCATGTACCGAGTCCACGTTGCTTGACCTAAGGCCCAGAAGTGCTTCCTCGTATATTCTCGCAAACCACAGTTGTCGGACTTGAGCGTCTCTGGCGGCTATAATCTCGAAACACTCAGAGACCGCTTCCGCGGCTGTTTCTCGGATAAGAACCTTGGGGTCCCGCAGAGCGACCCATATTAGATCGAAGATCTGTGGAACGAAGCCGTAAAGAAGAGTTGGCGAGCCTTTGGCAAGCTCTCTTATGACAAGCACAGCAGCGAAGCGCCTGCTTTCCTGTCGTTCAGACTGCAGCCATTCTAATGCTGACTGGATCTCGCTTTCGACCAATTCTGCAGTAAGAGCGCCGCCCGGCTTCGCCAAACGTCCCAAAGATCGGGCTGCATAGACCAACACTGCATTGTCGTTGCTCCGCAAGGCGCTGCGCAGATAACTAGCGAATCGAGTGGTTTTCTGAGCCGCATCGACACCATCGAAATCAATCAAGCGATCGAGAGCCAAAAGGCCGCCGATCCGTTCATGTGCGTCACTGCCGGTGACCACGAGCTGCGCGATGCGTTGACTGACAGCGTTATAGAATTCGAGGAACTTCTCCGGAGGCCAATCTGCGGGGTTCGAAATCATTGAATATTAGCCAAGTTCAGGATGCGACCGAAGTGGGAAGTGTTACCTCTCGAGATAGCCAGGACATTATCGTAGAGCTCAAATGAAGCTCTTACCCGCGTCTCCTCATTCTTGGACTTCAACTCACTAAAGAGTCGCTGAGTGATGTCCGTAATAGGACCTGCTTGCGCCATGTTGGTAAACCACACCCCAGGGTGGACATTTGAAGTCAACCTCTAGGGCATGCAATTTAACACGAGGTCGACATAAAAGACCGGAGGTCGATGGGACAGCAGTGGGCTTCAGTAGCAGTGATGGATGAGGTGAACGTCTCAAGAGCCTGGCGGGATCGCGCACGGACCACACCTGTTCTCGCCTGGGGCATCTGTCAGTATCCAGCCCAAACTGATTACTCACTTGGCTATTACTTGGTCAACCTCTTTTTCTAGAATTTCTAGGGACTACAACAACCCTTTCCAGTATGGATGATTATTGCAATGCGCTATTTGTACATGAAGCTGAGATAGTCTTGAGGCAACTCTTCACCGGTTTGATATCTAGCCGAGATATACCTTACTGCAGTTCTGCATACAAATCGCCTGGATCGGTCAATAAAAGCTTCGGACTACAAGCTGATTAGAGTTTTTGAAATGACTGAGATGCTAGGGGCTCTCATTATGCGCTTCGCTATTAACAACTTGAATTCCAGACTGTGCAACCGAAGCCTTCTGTTCCATGGACTCGGGCACTACTCGGGATCCCAAATGTGACCTCATCAGATGACCCTGGTGTCTTGCACGTGTCCGCAAGCAATGTTCTAGAGCAGAGCCCAAATTCTTTCTTTGCGCTACTGTCCATGCCTAATATTTACACAGTCGCTCCTGGAATACTACGCCTGATTGCAAGCATACTACATCGGAACAAAAGCACCGTGGCAATCCCGTGTTCTCAAAACGAACGGTTGATTCGTTCTAAGGACATACCATCCAAGGTCGGTTAGCAAGCAGACTAAGGATCCACTGCCGTGAATCCCTGTCGCGTGTGTGACAAGGTACAATTTCAAACAGGGTTGACCTTTGGACGGTTGCCCTACTCGAGGGACAAGATATTGACGTCTATCAAGTCCGGCACCAGTCCATTTCAGCATGTGCTATCTGCTCCAAGAGCACGGTATATTCTAATGCAGACGAATTCAAGCTATGGGAAGGTAATGTATTGCTGCTCCTTCCTTTGTGGCAAGCTTGCGTGATTCTTCGCTTTTGAAGAGCTTCCGTTTGCAATACAGCCAAAGTACCTCTGAAGAGATTCACCCTGATTAGTTAGGTCAATTGACACAGGAAAGGATTGAAATAGTTCTGCATTCCTTGCTTTTTTCAAGGAGCACAAGGGCCCTGTCAACCTGGCAACTCTGAGCACAGCAGCTCATCGGTGAAACAAGGTACACCCTAGAGTATTTTCGAACCATCATTCAGAATTGATAAAGGAGTAAATCGCTCGGGATTAATCGAGAAATCAGCCATGTATTCATAAGGAGGCTATAGTTCCGATTCTAGGGCGGAGAGTCAAGACATTGGAAGTGATATTACCAGCATGGATTGGCCATAATCGACTACTAATTCGCTAGTTGCAATGTATAAAAGCCTCTATATATTTTGCAGCACATTTTCAATTCGGCTGTTATAACGGCGCCATGATATCCCGGAGAACTGACTCCTTTTAACGCTTGAGGTTCCTACCTTGTACTTACTGATGTTCGACCCCGACGTCATCTGCTTTGGTCGGAGAAACCCCATAAAACCGATATCTTACCCCCGAATGGCTCAGTCCCAAAGAAGGTTGAGATATAGAATGGACTTCATCCCGAGTGTTAGCCTCCAGGAGATTAATCCGACGGACTTAACGATGTCTTCTTTCCATCTATTTCCGCCTTGGTTGACCCCAACTTTCTGAGATATTTGTAATCACCACGAGACCTCTGATTTGCGAGTTTAATGACAACCACAACAATAGTGGGGAAGATCAGGAAGGACGTGGGATGCAAGACTAGGTACTTAAAGACGGTGTGTCTCCTCAGGGACGTACGTTGGCTTGTATCCCTCACTTAGGCATTTGATGCAACCAGACCCTTCTCAATCACTGGTACAATGGTTAAAGTTCTTCTGACTGGTAAGCATCTCCAAGTACTATCTCGCCATTGGGTCTGTAGCCTAACGCTCGGCCTAGGAGGAAGTGGCTTCATCGCTGCTCATTGTATCGATGTGCTGCTGGCACGCGGGTAAGTGCAGGATACCTAAAGCCATGGGCTGTTCTGGGTGAGCTGACCGGGGATACAATACAGATATGATGTCGTGGTAACTGTTCGATCCGAGGAGAAGGGCCAGAAGATTCTCGAAGCTCATCCCAATACGCCAAAAGAGAAGCTGTCTTTTGTTATTGTCAAAGATGTCGCAGCAGATGGAGCTTTCGATGAGGTAAGTGCTTTTTGTTGCTTGAGGCCGTCAATGTCACTGGCACGGTCCGTCCAGCGTCTCTAAGCTAATCGCTTTCAAGGCTGTCAAATCTAATCCACCATTCGACTATGTCCTTCACACTGCCTCTCCTTTCCACTACAATGTTACCGATCCCGTGAAGGATTTCTTGGACCCTGCAATCAAGGGAACGACGGGTATTCTCAAGGCGATCAAGGCCTACGCACCAACGGTCAAGAGAGTCGTTATCACCTCATCCTTTGCGGCGATTGTCAATGCCAAGCAGCATGCCAAGGAGTACAGCGAAGAGAACTGGAACCCCGTTACCTGGGAAGAAGCGCTGGATCCTTCTGCAACCTACAGAGGTAGTAAGGTATGTATACAGCCTCGTATTTCGCATTGTGGTTGGCTGACATATGCGCCTACCCCAAGACTTTTGCAGAAAAGGCTGCTTGGGACTTTGTCGAAAAAGAGAAACCCAACTTTGACATTGCAACCATCAACCCACCTTTGGTGCTGGGTCCAATCGTGCATTACTTGAACTCGCTCGACGCCATCAACACTTCCAATAAGCGGATTGCCGAGATGGTCCGTGGCCATTGCAAAGACGGCCTTCCCCCTACGGGCACATTCCTGTGGGTAGATGTCCGTGATGTTGCTCTGGCACACGTCAGAGCTATCGAAGTCCCGGAAGCAGGCGGCCAAAGATTTTTCCTAACGGCCGGCTATTTCTCTAATAAGGCTGTCGCTGATATCATTCGCGAAGCATATCCTAAGCTGGCTGATAAACTACCCCCCAAGGACTCGCCAGATGATACTCCGGCTGATGTATACGGTTTTAACAACAAGAAATCAATCGAGGTCTTGGGAATCCAGTACCGGCCATTGGAGCAATCGGTTACAGAAACAGTCAAGTCGTTGTTGGCTGTTTGGGGATGAACAGCAAGAAAAAAAAAAAAAAAGGTCGAGTATAGTGTAGAAATAGAGCTCAATGCATATATAGTTTGGACCTTGGAAAGAGATATTTCAACCATGTTGAAGTCCATGACGGAATAAGAATAATAGAATACCTCTCTGGATCATTCAGAGATACAACGGTGTAATCAGTAGTTATTGGGGAAATCAACTAATTTGCGCTTCTGGGCGCTACCACTCACCGTACTCGGCTTGGCATGCATGGTGCAATCAACTTTTCTCCAGCTCACTTCGCATCGAAGAGACAACATCGAGACATTACAATTGTCTTCAATAACGCCCATGGCGACAGCCAGGTTATCGCCGACGGCGAATCTTCTTCGGAAGTCCCGTCTTTTCGCGCTTCCCTCAGCCTTACCGTTGCCCCAGCAAGATGCAACCTCGAAGACCGTTTTCGAATCCGACACCGCAACCCTGCCTTATCCGATCCGAGCATCCATTGTCACCCCAGCTTCATCGCTAGCGAGAGGAGATTGGGGTTTGAAGCGGCCACTTCCTGCAAAGTCGACATCGGAAAAGTCGTCCCGGCCTGTCGTCCGCCTCAACGTACTCGACACATTTGAACATGTCACAGACTTCGAATCCGCCGCCGACCACACGGTGACCTTGGAGAAATTCCAGGAGCTTCACATGCCCATGTCCCTTCCTTCCAAGGTCAACTACGCGACTAGCATGGTGCCCAGACATCAAAGCCCTTTCGAATCCGTGGTTGACAATACAGATACGAGCAAAGGCCTTCAGGAGCCTGGTGCTAAACAGTTCAGACATTCTGGGCCTTGGCTCGCGGGACAGACAGAGGCGGAATTCAATGCTTATCTAAATAAAGTGCGCGCGAGGAAGCCTGAGCTACTTCAGAAGCTTCGTGAACACTTCATTGCCAAGCGAACTGCTGAACGCAGAAAGCAAGCCCAGGATAACGGCGAGGATCTAGAAGCACTTGGTCCGCTCAACGTCACCGAGGAAGAGTTCCAAAGGTACATAAAATCGCTGCGAGCAGATCCCTTCTCTCTTGGCCCAGTGGTATTTGAACTGTTGGATCTTCCATCGCCCCCCGCCGTCCCTAGCGACCGTATCGGGCACAAGTACTACCAATCTCCTGGTACCAAACTCTCCTCTGCGGAGTATGCTGTATCTGGTCCCCCGAAGACACACCCTTCTGCCGGTCTCTCATATACGCGGTCTCACGCTCTGATCTACAACCACCCGAAATTCGGTCCCCAGGCATACCAACGCCCTGTGCAGGCCCGTATCCTGCGGCCGAAAGGTCGGTTCAAGGGCAAAACATCTAAAGCTATTGCTGGTGTTGGTGGTATTGCGGTGGAAGATCTCAACGCCATGACTTTCATTGAACAAGGCTCGCCAGCAGGTCTTGGGTACTTCGACGCATCCATCCCCGGTGGTGCAAAGTACTGGGTTACTCCCATCCGTGCTTCGGTTGACTCGGATGGTAGAATCGGCCTCGCGTCATACCGGGCTAGCGCCACTGCTAAGGCGCCTTATGGTATTGAGGAATACCAGAAGCCAAGCTTGACAAGTATTTCCCCGGCCGCCCGTGCGGACCAGCGTGTGGTGCCCAGGTTGGACAAATTGGCAAATTTGCCCTATGCTCGGAGAGGACAGGATATTGCAGCAGATCAGCCCGATAAAGGTAGAGAAGACGTTGCACGGAACCTTTTGAGGACCCTCAGCTCTATTTGAGTGTCTGTCGCGAGGTCTATATCTGGGGATACGGAGGGCTGGCTGTACGATTA